ATGCAGTGATGTTTCTGTTTTCAGCACTAACCTGTTAAAACTTTTTTTTTCAGAAACCACAAGTAGCACATAAAATTTTCAAACATATAGTCTGCTTATGCAAAATGAAACCCTTTTTGATTGTTAGCTAACAACATTATTATTTTTCACCTCTATCTGAATCCAACATATTACAGAGCATATTTATTTTTTGATAACTCATGCTTTTTCTTTCTTCTCTAGGGCTATGAGAATAATAATTTGGCAACCTATATAAAATTTCCAGAATTGAGGTCAAATGCAACAGTTTTTTACAAGAGACTTAGTAAATGTTAACAATAGTAAATTTGCATCATAAATATATTTTTTCGTACCAATGAAAAAACATCACTTGATTAATTCGTTGGAAATTACAAAAATGCACATCTATCTTGCAATTCTGTTGTGTCTTTGTGATTTTATTACTGTATTCCTATGTAGAACAGGCATTATGTTTTGTGTTATTCTGTTAAAACTCAATCTTTCTGTTATTGAATTATTACATTAGTGGAGATAAGTCAAAGATTGTTCTGATCATGTTGCTTCTGGTTTTCCTCTTTTCGGAAATGAAAATATTGACTCATGTCATATATAATGTATCCACACATGGGAAAGAAGATGATAAAACACGAAAAGATCAAATGCTAGAGTCAAAAAAATTTCCGGCATTAGTCTAGTCTGGATGACTTTTATGTAGTATGGTTTTTCCTCACAATGACACCTCATTGTTTTTTTGCAAAACAATAGTTTCTGCTGGAAGTTCATTTCAATACCTTTCTACTTTGATCACTCTGACTTGTCCACTTTTTGTTCCTCTTTAAGTTCTTTGGAACTATATATAGACTTCTATATATGAATTTGGTTAGAGTAACTTGGAATTTATCGATCAACGGTAAAAGTAAGTTTTATTAATCAATTCAGGTGGCAGAGCTCCTGGCATCTGCGGCCAAGAATCGTGCTGTTTCTTACTTCAAAGTAGTGGAAGTAATTGCAGAAACAACTGCTCCATTGACTCCCTTGGAGGACCTTCTTGCAAAGATACCATCTCAACGTGCTGACACTTACCCACCAAAGGTTTGCTTGTTCTTTTGGTCCCTTTTTTCCTAGTAGGGCAGAAAAGAGTTCAAGGTCTTTACGAAAATTTGATGTGCGATCCTTAGCTGCTTAGTGAATCCTGTAGCTCCCTTATTACTTCTTGTGTTATCTAGCTTTCACCTTTCTTGTTATCACTTCATGAGTTCTCTAAAATCAATTACCATTGAGCCTGAAGATAAATATCTCTGTTCTTTTATTGAACTCTCCTGTTTATGAAACTTTTCTTATTCAATTTGACAAGGGAAAGTATGTGGTGTATTGAAGCAGAAATCGATTCCCTCTGTGCAGCCCTTATCCTCTAAGAAAATAATTAATTCTATACATGAGGGTGGGCAGGCATCTATATGGATAGGTGGGTTTGTGTTCTGGCTTTCATCTCTAACCAATGACTGATGGCAAGGGAAATGTTGGTGTCAGGAAATATCACTAAAGCAAATTGAAAAGACTGTCAGAGCCAAATTGAATTTCTTTTTGGTGTCATCAGGGATTAGGTACTGCACCTGCTATTAGTCCAGAACCTTCTAGGAGTACCAAACCACCAACATCTCCTACTCTATCCCCAAGCACTACTGATGTTGCCACCAAAGCAAGTGATGCAGATGCTAGGCCTGCAGCACCCGCAGCCACCACTCTTCAAGAAGCTTCAGAAACCATTGTAGAGAAAGAAGACATTGAGACAAAAGTGAAAGATACAAGGCCGCTCTCGCCTTATGCTTCGTAAGTTGTATACTAGATATTGAAAATTACATTATCTAACTTTCTTTTATTAAGAACATCATTGACACTGGTGTTAAACTTAGGTAAATAATAAGCCTAAGGGTCTAGAATCCAAAGAATTTAGGGGTGGTAATTTGTGTTTGGTTCTGTCAAGTCAGGTCATGAGTCATGTTACAAATTGCAATGCCTACGAAAAATGGGCCAAAATTCAAAAAGAACTTTTCTTCAAATATCATTACTTCTGTTGATGTCAATCATGTTTGATTCTTATTGTTCTGGCTATTTTGCAGATATGAGGATTTTAAACCACCTTCATCCCCTTCACCCAGTCCACCTAGTGTTCAAAAAGATAATGTTGTTGATGCAGTGTCACTGACCATTTCAGATGCTCAAACCAGCACAGTGGATACAACAACCGCCGTGGATGAGATAAAAACAACCTCACAAGAAGTGCTAATAACAAGGCCTCTTTCCCCTTATGTTGCGTAAGCTTTTTCTAATGTTTTCCTGTCACATCATAGATATGGGACAATCTCTATATGAGCTGATATGATTTTGATAGTTATGAGGATTTGAAGCCACCGAGCTCTCCAAGCCCAATACCAAGTGGTCCCAAGCAAACACCCTTGGATGCCTCAACTCCGGTAGAAGCTGTCTCACAATCAAGTGGAGGTAACGATTCCACAGAGACTGTGATAAGCAGTGTTGCTGAAGAGGTTTCTCCACAAAATTCAACTCATTATCAATCACCCTACTATGTGTAAGTTTTTTGTGATCTAATGTAGAGTGTCTTCCAACAAAGTATAGTTTCCTTCTTGTTACTTTGTTCACTTGTGCGCTTAAATTCGGTAAATGTACAATCAACCAGTAATGCAATGGCTTTTTCTAGGAAATAACTACAAGAGTCTGTTAGTAATACAGATGTTTTCCTTCATAATATAGAGAAGTGCTTACCTAAGGGACTTAAATTGAGGGCAAGGGCTGGGTTCACTTCAATGAATTATTGATTTCAACAATTGTCTCAAATCGAACGACTACATGTGTCCTCCCTCCCTTGTCCCTCAACTTAAGTCCCTTGCGTGAGCACTTCTATCATAATATAAGTTATGTGTCCTTGCCCCTTAGCTTACTACAATATTACGTGCCTTTTGCTATAGTTATATTGTTCTGACATTAGAGTTATCAAAATTATTGTGGGCATGCATGTTTTTAGATATGACAACTTCAAGCCCCCTTCATCACCATCTTCTACTCCTCCAATCCTATCATCTCCTACTCCTACTCCTCCAATCCTATCATCTCCTACTCCTACTCCTCCAATCTTATCAGTCCTCTCAGAACCTGTTGCAAATAATGGGTCTCCGATTGATACCTTGAACAGCACGGTGCAACCTCCAACAGAAGATGCACAAAGCAACAGCGAGCAACATACCAAACCGAAGCCAAGACCACTATCACCTTTTTTCATGTAAGATCCTTTTTACTATATTATGCACATCACAAAGAAGTTTATTTAATGAAGTAAATTAACTTTCCACTCAGATACATTAGGACAGTTTTTGTGTTTATGAAAACCTATTGAACATATGAGGATTATAAATGAACAGGTATGAGGAGTTGAAGCCTCCAGCATCACCAATACCATCCCTAAAGAAATCCTAGAAGTGTCGATGCCCATCAATTTTTACAAGGTAGTGATTCGAAGCTCTTCGTGCTTTTCATCTCCGAATGCAAATCAGTCTCTCTCTTTACATTGAGCCTAAACCTTTTTCTGTGCAGGAATAACCATAAGCTCTTCACTGCAACAGAGCCGTTGGAGTAAATTTGGACTATGCATGCAAGGGTTGGCAAGTTTACATATTCTAATATAATACCAACGTTGTATATGTTACAGTTTTTATCTTTCAAAAATTTCTTCTTCTTTCATAGTATGTACTCGATATGCAAACCCCCAGCAACATAATTTGGCTCGAATAAATGAGTCCTATCTTAAGTTTCCAAGAACTTGAGACACAGCACAACATTTGTGATTTGGCTTAACAAATTTAATAAACACAAATGCAATATAAAAATTTAAGATTCAGTGCATTTTATATAAAGAAAAAAATTGATCAAACGGAGAGGGGATCAAAAGTTAAATTTTATGTTAATATGTTACCACCCTCTCTGGTCAACTTAGCCGTTTTTAGTTGTATTTGCCAAATGTCCCAAATGTTAGCCATTTTTAAGTTGTATTTGCGCGTTTAAGAGGTGAAATAATCAAAATCTTATAAGACACAATCTATATCCATACTATTATACTCTAATTTTTAGTACAAGCGATTAGGAGATGGGGGTTTTACACACAAACATTTCACAGGGATTATTATCATCCTTAGACAGAAGAATAGGGTAAAGATTTTAGGTTTAATTTTTTTTCTTACAAGCAAGGGACTTGTAGGCCAGGTGGTTAAGAGTATTTACCTCTCACTTGAGGTCCTACATTCGATTTCCCCTCCCCCATTAACGCTTGTATTTTAAAAAAATCTTCCCAAAAAAAAAAAAAAACTATGGGCTTTCAACTTGACCCCTTTGTACCTGAGTGTTCATTTGGACTTAGGTGTCGACCCAAAATTGGAAACATCATAAAAGAGAGAGAAAAAAAGGTTAGGGTTATTCATTTTATTAGTCCCTGAATTTAGACTCAATTTGTATTTGAGTCCCTCAATTTTCAAAATCGTTCCCGTGGTCCTTCACCTTCAGTTTCGTTAGGACGAATGGTTCTGCCGTCAATTTTGTTAACTTTTTCTGTTAAATGCAGGGGTAAAATGATATTTTTATATAATTTTAAATTTATTAAAACATTAAAAATATATTTAAAAAAAATTCAAGGTTTTAGGAATAAGATTTTTAAAATTTTAGTTTCTAATTTTACTTTTATTTTTTGGGTGAAAGAAATATTCAGAAATTGGAAACTAAAAATAATATTAAAATACTATTTTACCTATGCATTTGACAGAAAAAGTTAACAAAATTGACGGCAGGACTATTTGTCATAATGAAATTGAAGTTGAAGAACCACATAAATAATTTTGGAAATTGATGGACTTAAATGCTAATAGGGTCAAAGTTAAGGAACTAATAAAACGAATAACCCAAAAAGTTAAAGAAAGAAAAGGGATTTTAGGATTTTGGCTGGTGAAGCCAACAACCAGAGTAGAGGAGAAGAAGAAAACCCGAAAACAGTGAAATGTGTACAAGACAGGACCCTAACGGGACTCACAAAAATGGCGGTGGCCCATCCACTGCTCTAGCTTACCTCGACCCTAAATACTGGTAATTGTATTTTTCTCTTCCCACATTTACCCCTATCTTTATTGGATAATTCCATTAATGTTGCTCTTGTTTCAGGGATGAACGATTTTCTACTGAGGAGCATTACGAGTGGCTCAAGGACTACTCTCATTTCCGGCACCTCATTCAATCCCATATCACTCCCAATTCTTCTGTAAAAGATTTTTACTCTCTACTCTCTCTCTCTCTCTCTCTCAGTTGTTAGTAATAATTCTTACAGAACATCATGTAGTTTCAGGTTATATATATTTATTCTGGGTTTCATCAATCACACGCATATTATGTTGTGTGTATGTGATGTACAGGAAATGTATGTTTTCTAGCTTTCTAACCAGAAATTATATCTGGGTTTGGGGTATATTAGTCAGTGCTAGGAAGATGCATAAAGAGAATGGTATTTTACTAATGGGTTTGATTGATTGATTGATTGATTATGCAAACTGGTTGAGTAAAAATCATGATATAAATGAAATTCAACACTTTATGTAGAATTTCAAAGTCTCCTATGTCTAGCAAATTATCGCTCTTTTTTGTTGCCTTGATCGTCCAGCTCCTGCTTTGCAAAATTTCAACTCTGTTATCTGCAACAACATGCTGAGATGTTGGTTCATTCACATCGAATTTATTTATTATTTGCTTTTATAAGAATTAGTGTCGAGTTTATTGATTTTGCATTAACGAAATAATTAGAAGGGTTGGATAACGCAGTAGTGATGAGTAATGATTATGATACAGGTCTTGGAGCTGGGGTGTGGAAATTCACAGTTGTGTGAAGAGTTGTATAAAGATGGGGTTACTAATATAACATGCATTGATCTGTCCGCTGTTGCAGTGGAGAACATGCAGAAGAAGTTACTGTCTAAAGGTTTTAAAGGTGTGCTGTTTGATATTCTGCAAAATGTCTACACTAGGAGTGTTTGCATATCTACTTATTCTAAGATCCTATTTCTTTTCCCTTCATGTTCTTTGTGCTAAAGCGATTTGGGTTTTAAATGTCTACACTAGTGAATGCATATCTGCCTTATATATAGATATATATGATGTTTATGTATTATGTATTCATAGTCAGATTTCTGATTATATGCAATTGATAAGGGGTGAATAATAAGAATAATCACTAGTCATTTCTTATAAAGAAAAGTGGAAATCTATCAATTATGTGTGTTTTGTTTTTTGAGGAACTGAAGAGAGCAGAATCCAGGGTTGTTCACTGCTAACTTTGAACTGCCTAATCTTGGGAGGGACTTGACTTCTTGGGACCTACCTAGGCCGCCTGCTTAATGTTTTGGTGTTCCTGTTCCTAAATTAGAAACCTTTTATATTCTAGAGCAAAATGAGCAATGGACTTCTTTGGGATCCCACCACAGTTTTTCTTGTGCCCCTGGAATTTCCTTACTCTTTTTTTCTCCTGTTTGAACTGATTTTTTTTGGGTCGAAATTGTCGAAACATAGTTTATTTGCAACAGATAGAAAATCTTATTTATTTTTTCCAATATTCTTTATTATCAGAAATAAAAGTTCTGGAAGCTGACATGCTAGACCTGCCTTTTAGCAACGAGTGTTTTGATGTTGTTATTGAGAAAGGAACCATGGTAAACATACTATTTAAGATGGCTTTCCTTATGTGTGGTCTAGTTTCAAGTCGTGTCATCAGTTATTACTATCGTCAATATTGTTGTAACTTTCTCACCACCTAAACCTTCAATGAGAAGGGTATATATGATCTATTTTTCATTATGAAGGAGGTACTGTTTGTTGATAGTGGTGACCCATGGAATCCACGGCCTGCAACCGTAACCAAGGTCATAAAGATGCTTGAGGGTGTACATAGGGTTTTAAAACCAGATGGCATTTACATCTCAATTTCCTTTGGCCAGGTTATACAAATAAATTCAAAATCTTTTCTTAATTACTAAAGCTAGTATTCTAACTTGGATTGTTATCCCACAGCCACATTTCAGGCGCCCTTTCTTTGAGGCTCCACAATTTACCTGGTCTGTGGAGTGGAGTACCTTTGGTGATGGATTTCACTATTTTTTCTATACATTGAAGAAGGTTAGTCCAGATAATTGTTGGTGTACTTGTTGAGGCTTATATATCAACATTTGCCCCGCCGAATCCTATGTTGTGTGATTAATGATATCACTAATGTTTCAGGGAAGAAGATCATTGGATGATAAAGGATCTAGTAAAGAGAAGTTAGAGATCCCATCTATTTGTCTTTTTCAAGATGAATTAGAGGGTGAGGATTATCTTTTTCGAACCAACATTGATGAGCTCAATTGTTAGAACTTAGAACTGATTGTACCTTGTATTCATCATTTTCCTGGTGTAATGTTCATTTGGTTGTATTGAAGCAGAGTTCAAACATTTTTATTTAACATTTTTAACCTGTAATACCCAGAAATGTTTGAATGAAAGTTGTATTTCTTTTCGTTGCAAATTGCATTGACTGAAAACAAACACTTTTTGTAAATTGGCCGTGGTTCCATGATTGGTAGCTTGGGGAATACTAGTATGACTCTGTACTCTTAAGACCATTTAAAGCATTCTCCCAACAGAGTGCGTGCCAAGCAACACCCCCTCTTGCTTAACTCTTGGATTGTGCTGATGCGTCGGTAGAACTGAAAAGAAGAACTAGAGCGGAGGAGTCCCCCCCGGGGAGGCGGCGGAAGAAACAAGTTAAATGATGGTTTACATTCTGCTACAATATGATATGTTTAAGAGAAGAAAATCCGCTAATACGCTTTTGCAAGATGAATTTTCCGGAGAACCAAACAAGATGGAGTCTGGGATTGTAAGAAGGGCATCAATTTCTTCTTTCATACAAGTTAGGTTCTTGTTTTTTAAATCAGAAGCCGTCAACGTGCAAACTCAGTAATGAAGAACAATGACTCAATGAGGGTTTCCTTGACTTTCACAAAAAGTCAAAAACAAAAATTGGAAGAAAAAGAAAGAGCACGCTAGAAGAAGGGTTCGAACCTTCGACCTTGTGGTTAACAGCCACACGCTCTAACCAACTGAGCTACTCCAGCTGTTGATTGTCAGAACCAAATAATATTTTTTTATTCAATGTACTTTTTCTCTCTCATATTCCTAATTTGTAATTGTTTTTCTTCTTCCTTAATTATAAACGGTAAGTATGCCCGCCAATTCGGAGCCCCGACCCTAATAGGGCGGGAACGAACAAGTGTAACACAACCTACTTTCCCGACCCTAATGTCCTTTTTACCTTACCCATGTAATTTTTAAATTTAAATAGGTATATTATAATTCTTTAATTTAATGGTGCTATTTGTTTTATTTCGTCTTACTAGAACGCGATCAGTGAGAATCTATTTACTTGTGTTTATCTTTATGTATTTATGGTAAGGCTTAAAATATTTAACAACAACATTTTTTTTACAATAAAAACATAGGGCCAATTACAATAAATTTTTTTGTGTGACCCTAAATTATAGGTCCATAATAACATGACATCTTGACGAAGTATTACTAAGCTATGTATTGTAAATATTATAACAAATGAATTAGTAACGCATTGATACTCATATTAATGACTAATTTAATCCGTTAAAGTAAAAGTAAAGGGGATAATAATAACCACATGTAATTACGGTCCATACCCACTTAGCATTATAAATTTTTTCTTCAAGGAAACTTGGTAAAATAAAAATACATAAATAAATCTTTTTTTATCTATATATATTAAGTAAAAAGCAGATAATGGGGAAACATTCAAAATACCAAAAATTGCTTTTGGTTAGTCCAAACATTAGGAATTAAAATAATTAATTAAATGAGGATAATATGATAAATTCACATTTTTTCATATTAAAAAAATTAAAATTAAAAGACTAATAAGATAATACATTATATTTTTATGGAATACAATTATCCATTATTTTTTTTAATTATAAAATAATTTTATTTTATTTTTTATAAAAAAAAGTCTCTTGTAATTGCAGAAGTACGTGTAAAGAGACTAGTGAAAATAAAAAATAAAAAATAAAATTATTTTTTAGTGCTTTTTTTGTGTGGTAATTGTTTGCTAGTAGTATTTCAAATGGTTTTTAATTTGTGACACAAACTCAGCTGAGAGAGAGAGAGAGAGAGGGAGTAGCATAAAGCAAAGGCCTCGTCCCATAATCTCCCATTCAGACTTTCCAGTTCAGCTTCCCAACCTCTCCCCAGACTCAGACCCCAAATCCACAACTACAACTAGATCGATTTCTCCGCTTCCCTGCCAGCTAAAACGCCGTCGTCCAACTCCTCCTACATAATCCACGCGAAGCCCTTGGCTTCCAAAACCTACCCAATTCAATCTTTTCATTTCTCTCTTTCTCTCTCTCTCTCTCTTCGGCTGAAAACCCAATTGAGAATAATCCCCAATTCGCCTATACACACATATCATGCATGCGTATAGCACCTTTTTGTTTCTATTTTGATCAAAAGTTTTCGTTTTCCTGAGAATTTTTTAATAAATTTTCGATCTTTTTGGGGGGTTGATAATCGATGGAGGATTGTTTGGGCAGCGACGATGAGTACTACTACTCCGATCAGGACTCTCTTGATGGCATCGAGAACGAAGACTCTGATCCTCAGTGGATTCCGCCGAAGGGCACCACAACTAAGGTCTTCGATTTTATTTTTTTCCTGGATTTTCAGCTCGTCCGGCAATCAATAATAGTTGAATTTCAATTATTTTATCATAAGTTTTGATGGGTCTGCATGGCAATATGTGTATGTTTTGTTTGTTTGATTTTAGTACATTATCCATGAATATATTGGGATAATTTTATTTTCATGAAAGGGTTGATGGTCATTCTAAGTTGTTCGTTTCAATTTGAATAGACTAAATTTTATGTGGGGTGCATTGGAATTGGGGTTACTTTCATTTTATCAAAGATAATCTTTATTGTTGGGTATTTGTTTTATATAAGTTCTAGCTCTGTATGTGTATGGTAAAGTTATGAACTTTAATGGGTGGTAAGAGAGAACAGAGAGTTGTATTTGGGCACAATCCATCAGAAGCAAAGATGATCGTAGTATTTTTTTCTAACATAATGTAAATGTGTATATCGCTGGAGTATATTTGGATTAAGGTGCTTTATTATTTTCCCACTTCAATACTTCGTTAGAAATTGACTATGTTTTTTTACCCTTCCAGGTAATTACCAAAGAATCTCTGTTGTCGGCACAGGTAGGAATAATTGTCCTTACTACTCTGTTTTAATCCTCGCCAATTTGTCATCAAAACATTAAGGTTAATGTTTCAATTGGGTTGCATATATATATATAATTTTTTTTTGCAGAAGGAGGATTTGCGTAGGGTGATGGACTTACTTTTCCTGAGGGAGCACCATGCCAGGACTTTGCTTATTCATTACCGCTGGGATGTTGAGAAGCTTTTTGCAGTCCTTGTAGAGAAAGGAAAACCTTGCTTGTTTTCTGAAGCAGGTGTAACTCTTGTTGAGCATGAAGATCTTGACCCACCACTGCCTAATTCTCCAGTAATGTGTGCTATTTGTATAGAAGATGTACCTAGTGTTGACACGACAAAAATGGACTGTGGACATTGCTTTTGCAACAGTTGTAAGTACCCCACCCATTTTTTGCACTTTCGCTTTATTCATGTGGTGGACTCATACGATTATTACTATGTGCTTTTATCTCATCAAATGGTATTTTTAGATTTATCTTTCATTGTGTATTTATGCAAATATATGTGAAGTCCCTTTTTGTCTGCGTTCCATCTTTTTTATCGTTTAGTAACTACTGTGTATTCTCTATCATATAAAGGTTGGACAGAACATTTTGTTGTAAAGATAAATGAGGGTCAAAGTAAGCGCATTAGGTGCATGGCTCACAAATGCAATGCCATTTGTGATGAATCTGTGGTCAGAAATCTAGTCAGTAAGAGGCATCCTCATCTTGCTGAGAAATTTGATCGTTTTCTTCTTGAGTCATACATTGAGGACAATAAAAGGGTCAAGTGGTGCCCAAGTACTCCTCATTGTGGGAATGCAATACGCGTGGAGGATGATGAGTTTTGCGAGATAGAATGTACTTGTGGTCTGCAGTTTTGTTTCAGTTGTTTATCACAAGCTCATTCACCTTGTTCATGTTTGATGTGGGAGCTTTGGGCCAAGAAGTGCCGAGATGAATCGGAGACAGTTAATTGGATCACTGTCCATACAAAACCTTGTCCCAAGTGTCACAAACCTGTGGAGAAGAATGGTGGCTGCAACCTTGTAAGCTGTATCTGTGGACAAGCATTTTGGTGAGGTTCTATCTTTCTTTTTTCCTCTCATTCCTCCCTACTGTTATTGCAATTTTATTATGTCATTTTTCTTGGTTTTTAACTTTCTTTATAACTTGATGCATGTATGTTCTTGTCGTCTGTGCTTGACTAACTTAAAAAATAAACGAAGACTTGCATTATGGTTTTGATATTTACTGACTGTTTCTTTTTTGGGGGTCAAAACTGATTTATACTTTCTTTCGTCTTGGTGTGCAGTTGGCTGTGTGGTGGAGCCACTGGTCGAGACCATACATGGTCAAGTATTGCAGGTCATAGTTGTGGTCGGTACAAAGAAGATAAAGAGCAAAACGCTGAGCGTGCGAAGCGGGATCTTTACCGATATATGCACTATCATAACCGTTACAAAGCTCATACTGATTCCTTTAAGCTTGAAAGTAACTTAAAGGAGAGTATACAAAAGAAGGTGGCAGTTTCAGAGGAGAAGGACTCGAGGCTCAGAGATTTCAGCTGGGTAAATAATGGACTCTCCAGACTTTTCAGGTCAAGGAGAGTTCTTTCATATTCATACCCATTTGCTTTTTACATGTTTGGAGAAGAGCTGTTTAAGGATGAGATGACAAAGGAGGAAAGGGAAATAAAACAGCATTTGTTTGAGGACCAGCAGCAGCAACTTGAGGAAAATGTTGAGAAATTATCCAAGTTCTTGGAGGCACCTTTTGATGATTATAAGGAGAATGAAGTTATGGACATAAGGATGCAAGTGATCAATCTCTCAGCAATCACTGATACCCTCTGTCAGAAAATGTGAGTATGGCAGTCAGAAAAATATCTTAATTGAACTTGCTGTTATAAATGTATCTGCGTACATATGTGATTCTCATCAAAACATGATTTTTTTAATTTTTATTTATTTATTTTTAACTGCATGCAGGTATGACTGCATTGAGAGTGATCTATTGGGTTCTCTACAACTTGGTATCCACAATATAGCTCCTTACAAGTCAAAGGGCATTGAGAAGGCATCAGAACTTACTGTTTGTTGGGTCAATAAAGCTAATAATGCTGATAAAGATCTACGATTGCATTGTGGCACAAGTGGTAAAGTTGATTCCATGAATTCTTCTACCTCCCTTATCCTCTGAATTAACAGAAAAGAATTCAAGTATGGCGTCAATTGTGAAAGAAATAGGGCATATACGTATAAGCATTCTTAAGAGTAGTAGTTGAACCAGTTCACTTTTTATAAGTCGCTATGATGGTATACCACAGAGCCTGATTGCGTACCCACTTAAATTCTGTTATAGTTTTTATGGTCTTCAAGCAATCTTATATTATATACTTGAATATGCCTCTTCTGGCTTATAGTTATTACAATTCAAGTTTAGCATGCATCTCTGTTAGCCAATAAAAGCTTTAGTATATGTAGCCATAGCTTAAACATAATGGTCTCCCCTTATTTACAGTGATTATATGTTAGCTTATGTTCAGTATTTTTGCTGCTTAGGGAATGTTTTAATCTGACCAGTTGATATCGAAAATTGAAGGCTTTTTTGCTTCTATTGTGGTCAGCTTCTTCCGCCTTTTCTTTTAGTTGAATAGATTATCGTGGAACTGATATCTGATTGGAATCCAGTAGAAAGATAAGATAATTGGACCTTTTTTATCTTTTAATTCGTAAGGGCTCCATAGGACCCACTCACAGTGGTTATTACATTTTTCCTGTCTTTTATCCATCCCATCATGTATCCCCTTGACTTTGTTCTTGTTCTGGTAGCACTTCCAACATTGCATCACATCTTCTTGACATTGAAATTTGGTAATTTTCTTTTGGATTAACTTCTTTACTTTTATGACCCAAAAAAACTTCTTTACTTATAAGACCTTGATCCATAGTAGTCACCGTGAGTTTTTCTTTAAATGAATAAAAGCAATGTAATGTAGTTAATATTATGTTTTCTTGGGGTGCAAATTACTTGCTGAAAGAAATTTCTTGGGGTTGCAAACCATCAAAGTTCTTTTTTCTTCCACTTTTAAGTTGAAAAAAGAATATACTTTCTCTCTTGTATAGAATATGATGGATGCAAGATAGAAGATAACTCAGGCTAACATGTGTAAGGTTTTGCTAATACGCTTCTAATGTAGGAGGATCAACGGAACCAGAACAACCTTCAGGTTCTGGAAGTTCAGATGAGAGCGGATGCTCTTCTAGAAAGCGTGCTAGGAAGGGGGCTCTTGGAGGTGGTTTTTTTGATCTGAACTTGCCAGCAGAGGTTATTGACAAATCTGATTCATGAAAGCTGCAGGCTTCGTGCAGAAAAGGTGTACAGTCTCTAACGTAAGACTCTATTTTTCTATGACGGTATCGTCATTATTAAACTCCCAAGTGTTTAACGTTTCTAGCTCACGAGTATTTTGCGTCTTCCCCATTCTTATCCTTTTTGTTGCCATTGGTCTCTATGTGGAGAAATTTGGAGTTCTCTCTTGGAAAATACTTATTTTGTAGATAAACGTTTATTGGGGTCTTTTTGGGGGAGCTAAATTTGTAAATTGTCCGACTGAAACTTGAGCTATTCTTAAATAGTATTTTGGGATATATTCAAAAATTTTGGAGACTGGAAATAAGCTGACTTTATCGTTTTGTGCCTCTCCTAGGAAGTTGGTTTCTTGTTTTTCTTCGTTTGCCTTTTTGTGCTGTCCAAATAATCACAATTCAATCAGTTTTATTTCTGGAATGAATTCTACATTATGTAACTGAACTAAAAGCACACACATAGTTGTAGTTAGTGGCAACCAATTGCTAATTCAAGTTGTTGGACTTCAGGCCTATTATGGTAGGCTGGGTTTGGCATAATCTCTTGGAGTTGCTCTACTATCCTTTGTGCCAGTGGTGAGACATTTGTGTTGGACAAACCAACCAACTCAAATCCAATTTGCACTTTGGATTAAATTGGATAAGCACTTTTAAAGGTCCGGCAAACGCAAGATTAGACAAGATTCAGTTACCAATGTGTAACCATTACTTGGGTGTAGTTCAAGCTTATATTGGATTTGCTTATATGTTGTGTAGTAAGTTTTCAGATTTTAATTCTCAGTTCTCCTTTAAACTCATACCCATTTTAGATGCTATAATCTGGGCAATCCGAGAAACTTGGAAGATCAAATATAGACAAGCATGGATGAGTTTTCAGCGGGCTTCACAGGTTAAATATGTAGAAATTTTGACAAACCGCAGGCGTTTATATCTGCATGACGTGGACAAGAATTAGTGTGTACCCAAATGGCAACAAAATTGTGTGTAGAAGCTCCAAAAGGAGAGCGAAAAGAAAATCAATGGATTGTAAAGGTGAAAAGAAGCTAGACTCTGAGTTCTCAGAAAATCTACAAACCCAAGTAGCATTTCAGATTACACTCAAGTAGAAAACCATGAAGACGTGACACATTAAAAATTGGAGTGTACTAATTTTTTTCTTTTTTTTGTCAAGTGATAATTAGAGGCAGGTCATTCGGCATTCGACTTTATCCTCCAAACCGCTAGAGTTACACTCCCCACTTATCAAATTGTATGTATAGGTAAGAGTGATCTATGGTTGCATGTCTTATGGCTCGGGGTCTAATATAAGGATTGGGATCCAGGTTGGACTAAGGGTTCAAATTTGAGGTTGGGTCGAATGCTTATAGATTGCGTACAAAATCTTTTGTTTTTCATGATTGTATTCGAAAAATTAGTATCTATTTTTTCAGAAACATTGTACAAACGCTATAGGTTTTTGTTGTTGTTGTCATAAACCAGTTTTATGAAGAAATACAAGCGTGAGACTAAAAGAAAAATGATCTTAGCAATAACATAAAAAGGTCACAGGCCCAAACAAAAGCTAATTAGACATAAACCTACTACAACCAAAAGGCCCATAACGTGCATAAATTCCGGGAAGAGATTATAATGAGAAGTTTAAAGTGAGTGTATTTGAGGAGGCCAATCCCACCATTATAACATTTAATATGTTTAAGTCCCATGATTTCTTCACATTTGTTGATAGTGAGATTGACCTCCTCAAATAGCCTCCTCACTTTAAACTCATCGTTATAACTTTTCCATAAAATTCTAACCAAAACTCATCAGAGCTACTGACGCTGGTTGACCCAATGAAGGACTACTGTGGGCAAGTGCCCACACGTACAAAAAAGTTGCGCAGCCGTAAAATCCAAGCCAAACTCATATTTTTTTAAAAATTTAGGGTCCTTCTTGGGTGGAGCCCCCACATGACCCATTCAATACATACACTTTTAAGCCCAAAACTTATATTAAAAAAGAAGACCATATGTTATAAAAGAAGAATAGAGATCCCACCAAGTTCACTCATTCTGTAATTTTGTGGAGAATTCACCCGCCAAACTCGTTATTTCACAAAAGTCTGCAGCCCAACAAAATCAAACTCGCTACTTCAATTGATTTTACATGTTAGTACCAAGTTATTTTTTACAAACTGATTTCATTATATTCTTATTTATATGGATTCAATTTGTACTGATAATTGATATTCTAAGTTTACAATATTTTTTGTTTGGCTATATATCGGTTGGATTTTTTTGAAGCCCCAATGAACAAAAGTCTGAGTTCGTCACCACTGACTGCCGACGTGATCTCCACCGTGACGCCGGAGATAACATCACCGTGACCAATGATGATGAGAGAAGCTAGGAATAGGAACACAAAGCAAAATATGCACAATCCATAGATCCAACCAACTACCCGAACATCCCACATATCACATAAACACATAAGAAAATAGACAACCACCTCTCTCTTTGTTTGTCTCATTTTGTTTTGTAACAAAAAAACAAATCCAAAAAATTATATCTAAATTTCGAACCAAATGGGCCAAGTTTTTGAACTTGTAGTTTCAGTTCTGTCAATTTTGACATTGTAGTTTCATATTTGTAGCCATTCAAATATATGTTAGTATTATTATCAATTTCTTTAACGATACAAGGGGCAATTTCGTCAACTCAAAACCCTTTAGCGTAAAAACTTGTATGAAATTCTCCTCATTTCATATTAGGGCTCAAAATTCAACCATTAATCCCAATTTTTGAAAAACCTTAAACCCAAATGACCGATTTGAAGCCCTAATATGAAATTAGAGGAGTTTCAGACGAGCTTTTATGCTCAAGAATTTTGGGTTGATGAAATTGCCCCTTATACCGTCAAAAAAAATTGACAAGATTACTAACTTATCCTTATATTGCTACAAATACGAAACAACAGGGTCAAAATTGATGCCAAACTACTGGACCAAAAATGACATTTAGCCTATACACAAACCTATTATATATCTCTCCC